TTGGGATAGCTGGAGAGATGCTCTCTTGCTGTATCTCCAGCCAAAAAGAAAGGTCAGCTGGTTGCTTCTCAGCCTCTCTGAGCTAGCAGGTTTTCACTCCAACATCTGACTCCTGGGTCTTTATTAGTAAATTGAACAATAGAGACTTAGTTAAAACTACATTTGGCAGCCTAGGACAATTGGTGCCAGCAGGACCAGAAATCCCTTCAGGCCGTGGTCTGAGCAGAAAGGCCTAGGCAGTGGCTAAAATATCAGTCGATTCAGGTGTGGCACCAAGCTGACAGAAAAACAACAGGTTTCTCTGTGCAGCCCTGGCTGTCCTGGAACTCACTCTGTAGACCACGCTGGCCTCGAACTCTGCCTTCTCAGTGCTGGGATCAAAGGGGTGCACCACCACTGTCTGGCCAATTAAAAAAAAAATTAAGTCTTCTAAAGAGTGCTTTTTTTTTTTCTAACTACATTTTAAAATTTACTTTCATTTCATTTCATTTATTTCTTTTGAGGCGGGGTCTCACTATGTAGCTTTGGCTGGACTGGAATTCCGATATAGACCAGGTTGGCCCTGAACTTACAAAGATCCACTTGCCTTTGCCTCCCTGAGTGCTGGGATTGAAGGCAGGTGCCCCTAGACCCAGCCTGGCTTTGTTTTGTTTTGTGTGTGTGTGTGTGTGTGTGTGTGTGTGTGTGTGTTTGGAGACAGGCTTTCTCTGTGTTGCCCTGGCTGTCCTAGAACTTACTCTGTAAACCAGGCTGGCCTCTTAAACACTGACCCCAATCTCCAACCCCATCCTTAACTTTCTGATACTCCAGCCTCCTCCTCTAAAGTGCTGGGATTATAAGGGGTGCCCTGAGTTTTTCATCCTTGGCTTTTAAAATTTAGGAGTGGCCACTATCAAGAAAATATCCACTGCATTCCAGCCCAGCCCCATCCCAAGCTGGTTTGGGGAGCCCCATCATGCATTCCAGGGTCTGTTTCTGTGCATTTCTTTCGAATTTCGTCATTTCATAAATGACTACTACTTGGGTTCTGTTTCCTTCAACAAGGCCACACCTCCTAAGCACCCCCAGATAACAGTATCAAATGGGAACCAAGCATTTGAATACCTAAGACTGTGGGGAACATTCTCTCATTCAAATCACCACAGCTACATAGTAAGTTTCAGACTGGCCTGAGCTACCAAGTGAGACCTTGTCTCACAAACAAAAACCTGTCAGGTAGCAAAGCCCTGGGTTCTAAACCCCAGAGTCACATATATCTGCAAGTCCAGGATCTCCACACTCAGGAGGCCGTGGCAGGAGGATAAGAAGTTCAAGATCAGCCTCTGCTACACAGTAAGTTTGAAGCCAGCCAGCCTGGGATACTCATAAAAATAAAAACAATAAAAAATAAAAACATGGTGGACAAGATGATTTGGCAGGTAAAGGTGCTGGCCTGCAAGCCTGTAGGGAATTTTCTTAACTAGTGATTGGTGTGGGAGGGCCTGGCCCGCTGTGGGTGTTACCACCCTAGGTTAGTGGTTCTATGTTCTATAAGAAAGCAAGCTGAGCAAGCCAGGAAGCAGCACCCTTCCATGGCCTCTGCATCAGCTCTCGCCTCCAGGTTCCTGCCCTGCTTGAGTTCTTGTCCTGAGTTCCTTCAACGATGAAGAGTGATGTGGAAGTGTAAACAAAATAAACCTTTTCCTCTCCACATTGCTTTTGGCCATCGTATTTTATCATAGAAACTCTAAGGAAGACAGTAGCTCAGGCTAGCCCAAACCTTCTGCAACCCCCTACCCCTGACTCCTGCAGTAGCCTCCCAAGCACTGGACCACTAGGTGTGAGCCAAGCTCCTAGCTCTTGTTCCATCCTGAAGCTACCTAGGGCCTCTGTCCAAGAGCCATCCATCATTCAAAGGCAAAAGTCACTCATCACGCCCAAGGTTTCCAGGATTTTAGGAGCTGTGTGTCAGGACAAATGACAAATCCATCTTTCTCACAGGGGGTGATGGTGTTATTGGAAAAAGGTGGCAGATACAAAAAGAGGAAAAAAATACCTGTGAGGGCTCTTGGTTGTCAACTTGACCACATCTGGAATTAACTAAATCACAAATGACAGGGCACATCTGTGAGGGATTTTTTTCTTAATTAAATCCTTTGATGTGGGAAGACCTACTTCTAATCTGGATCTTTGAGGTGGGAAGATCCATCTTTAATCTGGACTACACTTTATGGTGGCTGCCTCTCTAAAGGACACGGAAGAAGAAAGTTTGCTTTCTCTTTGCCTGCTTTCACTCTTGCTAGCAAGTCCATTCCTTCACTGGCACTGATGTCTACTTCTTCCGGATTCCAGCATAGACTGAAGACCGGCTGAGACATCCAGCCTTGTGGACTGAGCAACTGCTGGATTCTTGGACCACTCACTGTTGGACTAGCTGAACTATAGCATGTAAGCAATCCTAACAAATCTCCTTTACACACACACACACACACACACACACACGCATGCACACATACACACATACGTGCATATATATACAATTCATTATAAATTAAGTATACACACAATTCATTTAAATTATATATTACTAATTATATACAATTTATTATGTATAATTTATAATGAATTTAAAAAAATATTCATTCTATGAGTTCTGTTGCTCTAGAGACAAATACAATATGTGATAACTATTTCAGTTAGCTAGTGTGTGTGACCCAAGAAGCCAGCAGCTACTTGTTACAACTCATGGCGACAAGACAGTTAGTACTCTTTGCTCCACACCAAACTCAGTTGATAATCCCCAGGCTCTCCCAGGGCCTGGCTTTTCCTGGCTATCACCTCTGTCTTCCACATATTGATGTATTTGCTTTATCTGTGCAGCAGGCAAGGCTTCTTGGTGGACTCCACTCTCAGAGTGTCTGAGTTCTATCAATGCACCTAGAGATCTTTCACAGGCTCCTGCCTATGTCCAGGTGGTTCAGTGAGGGAAGGTGCTTACTGCCTCGTATGATGACCTGAGTTCAACCTCGGTCCTACATGAGGACTGGGGAGTGTTGTCCTCCGGCTGCCACGTTTATTCTGCAGCAAGTGCGCGCGCACACACACACACACACACACACACACACACACACACACACGAAACAGACAGGTAAATTAATTTTATTGTTTCTTATTTATTTATTTACTTCTGAAACAGGTCTCACTGTGTAGCTGTGGCTGGCTTCGAACTCACAGAAATCTGCCTGTTGGGATTAAAGGTTTATGTCACTATATCTAGCATAAATATAATTTTAAAACAACAGCAAAAAACCATGAGCTGCCCTGAGTTTGGAGCTGGGTGTCTCAGTTTTTCTGAGTCCTGACTCAACAAAGTGTAACTTTTCCTTTTTTTCTTTTATGTCTTTCTTTTAGCTGCTGGTCAGAGCCGTGGCAGATTTTTCTGGTACTTTGGGCTTCCTAAGCACTTCCTCTAACGTTCTTCTCACCACCTGTGCGTCTTGTCCACACTGTGTCTGACCTCCTGTCACCCCCTGGTGACCCTATCTCACTTCCTGTTCTCCGGATTCTCTCCACGTGGCAACAAGTCTCTCCTTGGTCCTTCCATGGGGAAGTCAAGCCTCACAGAGAAGATTCATTACCCACAAGTGCCTGCATAGTTCCTGGAATCGCTCTGATGGGGCCAGGACCAAATTTGTTGGCTCCCGAATGAGCCCTGAGCTCAGGCACCGGCAGAGGAGCCTGGGGGAAGAGCGGTGGATTTAGGGTTGGGCGGAGAGACACAGAGTCATGGGCTTTTACTGGAATATGAGTGGGCGTGTGTGTTTTCATATCTCTGCAATCATCCATACCTGCACAGTGCCTGGCACATCTCGGCCCCCGGGGGAAATCCATGTTCCCTGACAGTATGGCTCCCCTGAGTCTTCATGCAGAGACAGGAGCTGTGTTCCGGGATAAGGTCAGCGTGGGCACAAGGAGCTATCAATGCCTGTGCCTGAGTCAAGATGCTCTGAATGCCTTCAAAGCACAGGTCTGGTTTAGATAGTTAATAAGTAATCTTTCTTGGGAAATGTGAGGTAGAAGGGGGGGAAAAGCCCAGCGTGGTGAGGTTGCGGTGTCTAAGGGCTGCTTCAGGTTACCGTAGCCTGAGTTCGCCGACAGCGGAACCTGGGCGCCCAGTCGCTTCACTTCTCCCTTCCTCCCTTCTTTGTTTTGTCAACTTTACACTTTATCTTAAAATTTTAATTATGAGTAATAGGTTTTCTTCCTCCTCTTCCCCCCCCCCAATCAGTTTCTCTACCGATGTAGTAAGCTAGATCAAGCCAAATTTAAAAAGTGTAATACCAGGTTTATTTGAGCAAGGCAACTCCCCGGTGGGTTCTCTAGTTCCCGGAGATCAAGGCTGGAGAAGCTGCACCCCCAAACAAAAGGAGGGAGACTTTATAGCTTGGAGGCCAGAGGTGATGATGTATCCGCCACAAGCTGGGTTTGGTGCCAACTATGGTCAAAAGCTGAGCACTTTAGGTGGGGACTTGGGTGGCTGGCAACTTCAGGGGAGGAAGCTGTAGTAGCCGCCAAGGAGGTGGAACTGGGCTTTTTGGTGTCTATCCTTTGTTTGGAGACACTCTTCAGTGGGCAGCGTTTGGAGAGAGATAGGAACAAGGCTTTCTGGATCATGCAGGGGCAA